CCATATGTGGGGTACACTTTCAGTTTCCCAGATATTCGAGAACAGTCTCACAAGTTCTCTTACGAGAGCATCGCCACCATCTTTAAAGAGGGCAGGTGGAAGGCCGTCTGATCCAGCTGCCTTGTGGTGTTTCAGGGCTTGGAGTTCCTTTCGGATCTCCGCCTCTGTGGGCGGTCCCGAGCATAGTGACTAGGGTGCACTGTCAACAGAACTGCTTGGGGAAGCCAGCGCGGGGGCTGGTTGAACTGCGATCTGAGGTGGTCTGCCCAGCTGCCGCGTCGAGCTGTTTGCATCGCATCTTTTTGCGGCCACCAAAACGCATAGACAACTTGGCACAAACAAGTTCGCGGTTGGAGTCCAAGCAGGTAGACCAATACGGACGGTAATTATTTACACATCCTCTCCATCTATAAATAATAGCTATATGGTCAATCTGACTCCACGTCTGTGCCGAGGAGGGGTTACGCCAGGTGGCGAGGTGACGCTCAGACTGTCTGAAGTTCGTGTTAACGAGGAACAGAACAATCCCTGTTTGATCAGACGCTGAAGCGATACGGTCCTCGGAGAGGCGCAGTTGAAACGCTTCTTTTGGGTTGGAAGGAAACATTAATCGGATCACTGAGCTGAGCTCGGATCTTGGATGCGTGTTTTCGAGAGGCAGCACACAATCTCTTTCGACTTTCGAGCGTACGTGCCAAACCTGCTTTTTATCCCATACGAATTTGAGTTCTTACGTCGAATGAAGCCAGTTTGAATGCAGAGTGAGATCAGTGGGGAAAGCGTCCTCCCAATGAATGCCGGTGTTACGCGGCCCATTTCCGTTAAACAAGTCAACTGGAAGTATTCCATTTGTAAAACTTTAAAATTAGACCATATTTTTTGCATTCCAAGCGCTTTTGATGAAATTTCTCACCCGGAAAATCGTCGTGATTGTTTGAGCAGAAAAAATGCACTGAATAACTATTTTGATGATTCACTCTCAAGCTTCTCGGTTATTACAGGTCAAAAATGGCATAATGTGATGTTTACCTCACCTCCTGCTCCCCGAAAAATGGTCACCATAGGACAGTGCCCGGAGCGGGTTTTACGCGACTAACTCTTGTGTGCGGGTAATTCAGCTTCTTGGATGTCTTTGATTGCAGCTATCCATGCGTTATGATATGGAACAAGGTTTCGCACCGGGAAATCCAGTTGTATTACGCCGGCCACGAGCGTCGAAAATCAGCTACAGACCTAGACTATCAACACCCGACTTGATTGCACTAATTAGCCCACGTTTGTATTGACCACCGATCCACTTATCAAGATCAATTCTTAACCTCATAAACCAAATGAGGCGAGCCAGATATGGACAGGACTTGTCATCGACTCACAGCAATTCAAGTTAGATGAGTGGTGACTTATTCGGCAAAGTTTGAACATTTTTCCAACTGTTGAGAGGAAATTGCAACTCCTAAAACCATAGGATAGAGTACGTTTGACTTATCAGAAGTTTCTTCTCGTTTCGTCGGACTGACCTTGTCAGAAGCGAATATGGACAGTCAACGGAAACATCGGCAGCTATCCATCTAGCTGACCTTGTTGGATTGCACTGTTTAATCTTTTTGCAATGATATTCGTAGCATGAATCGACCTACAGTTGAGAAAGTTCATCCCGCGTAGTTTGCTAGACCAAGGAGGCACGTAATCTGCTGGGACATTACGTACGCACTCGTCCATCACTTCCCATTGATCGTCCAATCACGTGATACAAGTACTCGTGACAGACGCTGACCAATACCCTTCTGGGCTGTTTAGCCGTGAGCCAGCTTGACCTAGTTTTAGACCATCGTTTGATCGACTGATGTATTCTCACGATCATTCATTAAATCGTTAACCCGGATCCGATCAGCACGCTGTCTTCTGTGTTCTGATTTCTTGTGTTGGGTTACGGGCCCCAACAATACTGCACATTAGCGTCGCCATTAGAATACGGTTTGAAAAGTACGACACTGAGCAACCGTAGTCGGGGCAGGTGGGACAAATTATGTAGGACCTTGACAGGTGACAGTGAATAGAACATATACTCTCCGGACATCTTACTCGTACGGATTATTCAACTTGAGTGTAACTTTTGATACAAACCGTGATTGATATAGGATTGGGAAGATACAAAAACCGGATCATCTTAACCAAATAAAACTGAGTGGAGAAAACACTGTTAATCGTCTAGTTCTCGCCTATTCACTCTCTTTCCAGTGTTATCCAAAGTCATGGAATCCCTCTGTTGCGGAAATGTATCATCCGGAAAATAGTGCCTTACTATCCCCAGCCCAGCACAGGTTTCGGAAAAAATCAATCATGCGCAACTAACTTGATTTTGGCTCGGGACAATTGGACTCATGCTGAAAACCAAGGCAAAGCGATAGATGTTATTTACCTGGACTTTGATAGAGCAAATTATCAAATATTGACATGGGAGCTATATAACTATGGAATCCGTGTACTCGTATTTTTTTACTACACACATTTGTGTGATGAACAGCAGACGGGGCGAATCCCATAAGCATCAAGACCCGCTGCTCCGTCATGGAAACCGGTAATCCAAGCCCCGGGTGTGTTATCAAACCGGAGGACAGCAAAGTTGCCTAGATGGATCGAGCAGTTTCTTCAACTACGTGCCATGCCAGTTCGTGCTTCCGATTCAATTTCTGATCCTATAGATGTAAACTGTGCGGTTCCATAAGGATCTGTGCTAGGGCCACGTTTTTTCCTTGCATTTATAAATGATCTTCCAGACGTTCTCGGACCACAAGCTCTGCTGTTTGCAGATGATGCCAAAATATGGAGGACAATAACAAAACCAGTAGATTCATTTGACCTCAAAAGCGCCCTTGACGAAGCCCATATATGGCTTGTCTCCAGCGTCAAGGAGTATAACGGTACGAAATGTGAAGTTTGATCACTACGT